ACCCACGCTCGACCCTGCCTGTTCAAATTCAGCGTTCTCGCGCTTTTGAGTATCACCTACATCCTCGTGAAAATTTTAGCGGGTAAACTATTAACTCGGGAAACACGGAAGGATATTCACCATTCAAGGCTTCGAATTCAGCTTTCATGCGCTGGTGCGTAAAATTTTCAACTATTTTCCAATATTTGAACTATTCTTGCACAGACTAAAGTACAAAGTAGTGAAAATCATTAATAGGCAATCGTTCGATGGGCTGAATTGCACCAAACGCATGATTGCACCGGCTGGTCTGGTGCGCGCTGCTATTTATTAAAATGGTGAAACTGCGAGCAGCTCATTATAACAGCTATAATATAATTGTTCTTGATTATTCAATGTGAATAAGTGTGGTTGTATTGTCCAGGTTGTAATTTTTTTTCATTTCTATCATAAATTAGTTAACATTAGGTAGGGTTACAGGAGAAATCTAGAGACAGGCTGTGCAGAACATCGGGAAATATAAAAACAAAATGCCTTTTCAAACTTTATTCCACTGTGATAAATTTTTCGCCCTAACTCCCGAACCCCTTTATTCTTTTCACTTTCAGTTTTTCACATCTTTCGTTTTTTACCTGGTGCACTATGAGGCAGCGTATTTTCGATTTTTTTCTCCCATTGCGTATCCCCGTTTCATCTATGCCATCCCCACTAGAAGCGCCAAGCGCACATTCGTCTTGTACGATTATATTACCCCAAGAACAATTCTCTTGAAAGGATAATTTATTCATCAAACTCAAATTCGAAAGTCAGTCTTCAATGATTAATACTCCTATTCATTGTTGGTCTGTTTTTCTGGGATTTGAAATATCGTGGAATTTCCTTCGTAATCGTGATTGGCTTCAAACTGTGATTTTTTAGTAGGATTTTCGTTATCGTATGAATCATGTTTTCGAATGAACAAATAAGGAAACAGTGGGATTGGTCGTTGACCGTAGGACGGTTAAACTGAAATTTAAAATCGTGAAAGATAATCTGCATCAGTTAGCGTACATAAATATGCTATTGGTTAAATACACGTATTACCAAAATAATAGCGATTATTGCGTACGATACATAATTAGTACCGCACTTTAATGGTTTATAATCGAGTGCGTCTTAAAAACCAGGGGTTACAATATCACTCGCAGTGGTCAACATAGACAGAGCCCTTCCCCCTTCCCCAGCGGCGCAGGTAGTTCTGCTGCAAAGCCTTGGTCTGTTCATAAATAAAACTAAAGTAGCTCTAAGTAGCAGTATTACAACTCTATTCCTAGTTTTTGCACAATTCGAGAGTGAGGGGGGCCCTCCTCCACCCCTCCCCTTCCCCTCAGGAGTCTGTCCTGGATCCTCCTATGATGGTTAAATTTTTGCAATTCACGTTAAAAGTGTATATGCTTGCCTACTTTCAGGAGAGATGTCTTTTTTTTATCAAATTTCATCGAAATATTCAGTGAGTCCACTTTTCCATTAAACTGGCAATTGGCAATTTTCAGTGAATCGGATACGTTCAATTACCTGGAACTGACATTAAATAATCAAAAGCCACGTACGCCTGTGCTGGACTGTCAGCTTGGCTACTGTTTAAGCCCTCTGCCGAAAGATGTGAAAGATCATGAATACTTTCTGAAGAAATACCGGCGCTCCATCATAAACTGGGTAAAAATAAATTCATTTAGAAACTTTCATTAAACCATTTTTTTGGTTTTATCTCCTGAAGGATCAGTGACAGCTAATTAGTGGTTTAGTTGAACATTTTAAAAGAATCGCTTCGGCATCCCTTTAGATTAAAGTGACTAGTAGAAGGATGTGGATGGCAAAAAATTATGTTTGTAGTTCTTCCGTCCCGAGAAGGCTTATTACACAGTAGGTTTTACTATTTTAAACTATCTCAGACCGGGCGACCGATATGACATGTATACGTTTTATCGAATATTCCTTTTTCGAACTGTGCAGAAAAAGGGCTGTGTACCAAAAAAAAAGATTCTTTCCGAGGACCCCATAAAAATAAGAATTGGCGAGAACGCGAAACAAGCCGAAGTTTTTTTCACCATGAACTTTTGCTGACGCATTTGAATTCATCCTGTAAAAAGTTGAAACAGCAGGGTATTCCACGTCGATAGTAAAGGATATTCCTGCTTAATTTCGCAGGTAACATTGTTTTTATGGAAAAACTCCACAAACGCTTACAGAACCTTTTGAAGGGCTTTTAGCGGCTCGGAATGCACGTTGCTCTTTCCCGTTGTTGTGATTTTTTTTTTTTGCACTGCATCAACTTCGGTTCTGGTAAAAAAACACTGCTGATAATAACCCTGCCAGAGAAGGAAAAACTTCTTTTGACACCTTCCCAACAAATTCTTTCGGTATTTCCTTTCAGTTCACTGCCAAATATACACAAAAGGTGAAGGGAATTTGATATATTTAGCACCTTTATTTGGATAAATAGCTTTCGATAATGGCGCTTTGATTGTGGGAAAGTTGACAATTTCACGAAGAAGCGACGATGGCTAATTCAATGTTACAAGGAGTAATTGTATTAAAATGAATACAACACAGTTTTAGGTGGTGCAGTCAAGTGCCGTTGATTTCCTGCACCTGCTCATTGTTTGCATGAAATGGCTCTGTGAAACTTTCCAAATTGAAGCTCGATTTGCTCTTTCGATTCACGATGAAGTGGGTTAAAATTTTGCCGTTTCTTGCAATCTTACTCATCACGTCTGTTGTCAGTTCTGGGAAATATTCAGCCTTTTTTGGGGGTTTTTCTGAACAACACGTATTTTTGAGTGTCCTATAAGTGGTTTGTAATTCGGCAAATTCCGAAATTCGTTTCATCATTTTTCTTTTATGTTCGAATTTAGTGACTGATGGGGAAAAAAATCATTTGTATGCTTTCAGATTAGGTATATTGTACCGACTGAGGATCGTTACCGATGTGCACTGGCATTGACCATA